AGGAGGAGGAGGAGGAGGAAAAGGAGGAGGAGGAGAAGGAGAAAAGAAGGTGGAGGAGGAGAAGAAAGAGGAGAAGAAGATTGCTATTATTGCTACTATTGATAGTTATTTCTGTGAACTGAGTTAGCTTAGCATCCTCTAATACAGTATTTCTCAACCTAGGCAACTGGAAGGTGGGTGGACTTCAACTCCCAGAATTCCCCACCCGTCTTCATGTTGCCCAGGTTAGGAAACACCGGTCTAGCAGGTGCTTCTCCCAAGCTTCCAAGCTGATTTTTGCTAGCAAGGATTCCCAAGAGCTCTACTATAGTCCTTCCCTGCCTCCAGGGGGACGCGCCCCCCAGCACGGAGTCTCCCAGGGCTAACATCCCCCTTTACCTGCACAGGTGCACACACACACACACACACACACACACACACACACACACACACACACACACACCGATCCTGTCTTCCACACCATCATGCACTATAACTCCCGACAACGCCCCGGAAGAAACCAAATCTACTCTAAAGAAGGGCACCATTGCTTATTTTAATTACTACAGTATACTCTTTTTTTTCTTCTTCTCCACAGTGTGAGGTTTCTGAGGATCTGAAAATACAACAAGCCTTACTGCAAGATGCCGTCGGGAATCTGGACGTGCTCCATGGGAATCGTGTGAGCCAGTTCCTCCAAGGTGTGAACGTACTGGATTTTGCTGATGAATTTCACACTAGAAGAGAAGAGAGACATTAGTACTCTCTCTGAGAGTCGTTGAGGCAACCTGGAGGCTTATCTGTGTCTTCAGGGTCACCTGAGGGGTGCAAATGGGTGTGGAGCCTTGTTGAAAGTGCAGAAAGGACTGAGTTGTAGACTGGAGATAGATGACGTCGTAGTGGTGAGGATGGCTGAAAAGATCATTGGCTGTTCCCTCCCTCCCATCCAGGACATAGCACAGAAGCGTTGCTTGAGCAGGGTCCGTAAGATTGTCTGGGACACGACACATCCTCTTCACAACCTGGTTTTCCTTGTTACCTTCTGGGAGGAGGGGGCTCCGTGGTATCCGCAGCAGAACATCCAGATTCAGCCAGAGTTTCATTCCATACAGCATTAACCTTGTGAACTCTCAAGCTTCCTCCTTCCGTTATAATAATAATAATAATGATAAAGTTGGAAGGCACCTCGGAGGTCATCTAGTCCAACCTCCTGCTCAGGCAGGAAACCCTATACCAATGGCTGTCCAGTTTCTTCTTAAAAACGTCCAGTGTTGGAGCATTCACCGCTTCTGGAGGCAGGTTGTTCCACTGGTTAATTGTTCTAACTGTCAGGAAGTTTCTCCTTAGTTCCAGGTTGCTTCTCTCCTTGATTAGTTTCCATCCATTGCTTTTTGTCCTGCCTTCAGGTGCCTTGGAGAATAGCTTGACTCCCTCTTCTTTGGGGGCAGCCCCTGAGATACTGGAAGGCTGCTATCCTGTCCCCCTTCGTCCTTCTCTTTGTTAAACTAGACATACCCAATTCCAGCAGCCGTTCCTTATATGTTTTAGCCTCCAGTCCCCTAATCATCTTTGTTGCTCTTCTCTGTACTCTTTCTAGAGTCTCAACATCTTTTTTACATCGTGGTGACCAAAACTGGATGCCGTATTCCAAGTGTGGCCTTACCAAGGGATTGTAAAGTGGTATTAATACTTCACGTGATCTTGATTCTATCCCTCTGTTAATGCAGCCTAGCACTGTGTTGGCTTATATTCAAGATGGACAGTGTTTAATATTTATTTGCTACGTATAGGGAGGGGTGTGGGTCTATACATATGTTGAATATAGTATGTTTAGGTGTGGGTCATGTATGTGTTTCACTTTGAGAGCGGGCAACTAAATTTCATTTTTGATGTGTGCCGTTGTGCCCACAGTAAAAAAATGACAAAGGTTATCTTATCTTATCTTATCTTATCTTATCTTATCTTATCTTATATCTTATCTTTTATCTTATCTTTTATCTTATCTTATCTTATCTTATCTTATCTTATCTTATCTTATCCCTTCTGTTGAGAGAAAAACTGCTCAGTTTTGACCTAGATGGCCTCTTGGACCCCTTTTCAAACCAACGATCCTCTCTGTCCAAAAATGTGGACTTTACTGTCTTCGAAAGAGCGACCTTGGTCTGATAAAAACGAGAAAGTCCAGTTGCCTCTTGAAAAAACACCTTTGGGACAAGCTGAAATGGAGCATTGCCGGACTTCTGCAAGTATCCGGAAAACAAGGAAAAAGCTAAATTCACCGTAGGGCATATGGAAACCAAGAGAGGCCAAAAACAAGCAATCATTTCCAAGTATCAAGCTGGGATTCGCTCCAGCTTTTATTTTTTTACCTGATGAACGGCCGAGATATCGCCAGCACCGTCCGAATGAACCAGGAAGGGTGAACGATTATCAACGCTTTCAGGTTTTTTCGTAGCCTGTGAAAAAATGAAGGGCGATGCAATTTTTTTCCGCAAAACAAAACAAAACAAAACAAAACTGGGTTAAAACAGTCACACCTCAGTGAGAACATTCTGTACCACTACGAATCTTAAAAAGGAAGCCAGGTTGGTGTTAAATTTTTGATGTGGTCCATAGAACCGTCAAGAATCAGAAATGACTGAATGGATGGCATCAAACTAATGGATGGATAGACAGACAGACAGACAGACAGACAGATGATAGATGGATGGATGGATGGATGGATGGATGGATGGATGGATGGATGGATGGATGGATGGATGGATGGATGGATGGATGGATGGATGGATGGATGGATGGACGGACAAATAGATAGATTGAGATATAGGGGTAGAGATAGAGAGTTATAGTTAGATATGCAGAGATATATCAAATTTATGGCCAAAAGACCCAATTATCATTGCCTTGCTCTGAGGATTCCAGGCCAAACATATTTAAAAAGATGGAGTAAAATGCTCGGATATGAGAAAATGCAGACACCCCCCCGCCCCCCACGGAGAGTGGGTCAGCATTGCCGCAAAAGAGCAGACGCAGGGCAGCCCCTTCCTCAACTGAACCAAGGGTAACTTAGATTCTGGTTTTGATGGCATCGATCCTCCTTACCGTCTGTCAATCATCTGGTAGCACTTTTTCAACCAGCCGATGCCCGGCATTCTCCTCCGTGGAGTGGCGCCGTTCAAATACACAATCATGTAGTCTTCGGCCACCAGCAGCTCCAAACTGCTGATCACGTATCTTCCAGAACAGAGAGGAAGAGAAGAAAGAGAAGTGAGGAAAAAGTGAGCCCCAAAAAGATATATCAAAAGTCACACAAAGTTGGAGTATCCTTTCAGATTGGGATTTTTCCACCTTAGAAACTTTTAAGACAGGTGGACTTCAACTCCCAGAATCCCCCATGATGGGCTGGGGAATTCTGGGAGTTGAAATCCACCCGTCTTCAATCACGCTGGCTGAGGAATTCTGGGAGTTGAAGTCCACCCGTCTTCAATCACGCTGGCTGAGGAATTCTGGGAGTTGAAGTCCACCCGTCTTCAATCACACTGGCTGAGGAATTCTGGGAGTTGAAGTCCACCCCTCTTAAAGCTGGCTGATTGGGGAATTCTGGGAGTTAAAAGTCCACCCCTCTTAAAGCAGACTGGCTGGGGAATTCTGGGAGTTGAAGTCCACCCATCTTCAACCATGTTGGCTGAGGAATTCTGGGAGTTGAAGTCCACCTGTCTTCAACCATGCTGGCTGGGGAATTCTGGGAGTTGAAGTCTGGGAGGAGAAAGCAGCCCTTTTTTAAGCACCTCCAAAGGGCCAGGAATTGGGCAAACCCACCCTTTTTTAGGTGAAATTTCCCATCTTAGAGATGACACCCATCTTGCCTCAACAAGATAGCCTCCCCTCCTTTGCAGAACACAGGAAGAGCCGCCACTTACAGGAAGAGGTTCTCCATGATGTAATGGTAGTCAGGCAGATTGCTGTCTGGCAAGTAACAAGCCGCGAAGACAATGATGGCGTTGAGGCCTTCCCCGTAATAACCTAAGAGAGACAGAAGCATGGAGGGAATGGACCTGGTGAGTTGGCCACGGATGTTCCCTTGCTGAAATACAAGGGCCTTCAGCCACCCGATGGGCCCGCTCCTTTCTCCTCCAAAGACTTAGCTGGAGACCTCATGGTGTCTCCAGAGCTTCTCACCTCCATGAGTTACCACCTTCATATACGGCTTGATCATCTGCAGGTCGATGCGGTGTTCCTGCTCCCCGATAATGACCGTCCTCCACAGACGGCCGTTGGGGGCACCACCGTCTTCCCCGCCTCCATCTCCAAATAGGTCTGCACTGTCTCCGGGCATGTTTTTGGCGGTGGCCACGGGAGTGTCATCTGAGAAGGAGAACCCAGAAGATGGGATGAGGGGCAAGCATAACCTGGATCAGAATCACAACTCTTAGAAGCCAATTTATTGGTGGCAAGCATCACCTGAATGAGAATCACAACTCTTAGAAGCCAATTTATTGGAAGACTAACAGAATATCTGAGTTGGGAGGGACCTTGGAGGTCATCTAATCCAACCCTCCGCTCAAGCAGGAAACCCTATACCATTTATTTAGGCAAGAAAAACCATTTAGGCAAGAAAAACCAATTGCACAAGTACAGCATAGGTGGCACCTTGCTCAATAGTAGTAACTGTGAGAGGGACCTCGGAGTCCTAGTGGACAATCACCTAAATATGAGCCAGCAGTGTGCTGCAGCTGCCAAAAAGGCCAACACAGTGCTAGGCTGCATTAACAGAGGGAGAGAATCAAGATCACGTGAAGTGT